CCTACGGTAAGGGCTGTTTCACTTACAGATAAATTAAAATTGAAAATAGGCACTAATAAATTATGCGGCTCGTGATAAATTTTAATGTAGATAACTATTTTAAATGTCTCGACTTTTGTGGATGCTCTCGCTGTTAATTTAATTATATACTTACATGCTAAATTTTCTTTAAATGTAGTATACAGAGCAATACAACCATATGTGAAACTAAAGAAGTGGCTTAGTCTTTTAAAAATTTAGAAAATTATGTTTATTGTTATTTAAATTATTTTTAGAATGGGGAAAGATACAATTAGTCCTTTTAAAATGTTCTTTATAGTAGCATCTATGAATTAAAATTTTGAAACTTTCATTAGACTTTAGACAAAAAACATAAATAAGTACATAATAGTAAAAGCTTTGCATTGAAGCTAAAATATAACTTAATGAAATATTCAAAATAATCTTAAGTCAGTACAGGATAAAAACTTAAGGTTAATTTCGGCATGAGAATAAAAGTCAAAATCGAAAAATGATGCGTTACAAAAACTATTGTATAAACTTCAATTTACCACAAACTATCCCATAACTGTCGATATATCAACTGCAATATTAGAAAATGTGTGGACAAGTTGACTGAGTTAAAAATAATTATTAGTTGGTAATTGAAAAGTATACTACAACTCCTATAGGCATAAGTTTGGAAACGTTGTTGCATATTGAATAATAATGTCATAATGACCACTGATAATTTTTGTGTAAACTTTCAAACTACTACCTGTTATATGTTTGACAGCATGACGTACTTAAAATGACACTAATTGTCGATAAAGCGACTATAACAATTGAATACGTTCCAACGGTCACTGATAAAAGTGTACACTAGTTGTGTATGTTAGACACCAATGCTAAAACTCCTATAGGAAAAAGTCCGGAAACATTATGATATGCATTGACCGATAATGCTATATTCTACAGATACCCCAATTTAAGATCGCGTATAAGAGTGCGATTTTTAAAATGTCCATTTAAGTTCTTTTTACATGCATTAATAAAAAAATTTTTTTTCTTAATAAATTTGCAGATAATTTGCAATTGATATCATCTTTATAAAATTAAATTCATAAAAATGATCATAGCAAAATCTGCCTTCAAATAGGACACTTTTCTACCCTTAATACGACAATTATTTTAAAATGGTTTAACATAAAAAGTTATTTTCACCATAATTCTTTTTAAAATTATATTGTCTATTGAAAGGAGTAAGAAAAATTAGAGGTTGCCATTTAAATTTCTTAAGTTAGGGTAGATTTCTACCCTTTTGCATTAGGGTTGAACTTTAATTTTAATCGTAAAAGATGCATTTAATTATTCAATTAGCTTCTAAAAAAAAAATTATTAAAAAAATCAATAGCGGCTCTAAAAAATCGGTGTTTCCGAACTTATTGAACACTCTGTATAGTATGGATATAATATATCCCCGCTAAATCATATTATGTGTATTATAATTTTCTGGAACTTTTTGGAATATATTGGAAATTTCTGGAAGTTTTTAGAAGTCCGTAGCGGACAGTCCGTCTTTTAGGCCGTTCCTATTAAACATTGTACTATGCCACTTTTAGTATAACTAATAAAGAATCACAGATGGTGTCCCCTGATAATCGAGATCTCCCACAAAAATCATTCTAATTAAAATGTTTCCACAAAAAATATAGTCCGTCCGCATCCAAATCGTTCAAGCATCCTCTTCTTTACTCACCTCGATTATCAAGGCCTGGAAATGATAGGTAGAATTTATTCAGAGTTCATATTTATTCAAATTAAACTACTTTCACGTTATAAAATCCTAAATCACACACGAAACCTCAGGTGAGTTATTCAAAGGTCTATAGAATAATTATTGCTGAGCTTGCGTCAACTATTTTACGCTAAGAAATTTATAGTCTATATTTTTATTGTATTCACTTACATAAGTATTCTAATAGATCCTGAATATTCCTAAGTTTAGTTCAGGTCTGTTCTTGACGAACCCTCCTATCCAGTAAGATAATTTACTTTCTTTAGTAGTAACTCAATTACAAATAGTCTCGTATATTTTATTGTATGATATTAATGAAAGATAAATCGGTGAATACTTATCTACTTTTATTTTACCTTTCATTACTGTTATATCATGTTGGGTTACTACAATTATTATTATTTAAACATAAAACATCTTGTTTTTATTTTATCAATATTAAATATATATAAATTTGTATTTGTAATAATAAACCGCCTTTTTTATTAAATCAAGTGTTCATCCAATAGTGATTTGACTATTGTTTTTTACATGTGTATGAATAAAGTTTGAATAATAATAATATTTTAAATACTTTAATATTTACTTAAAACACTTTTTTTATATTTAAAAATATAGATGTAGGAATAAATTATATTAGTAGTTAATTTCACATTTGTATAACATTAGTGCATATATTCTGATGTAATCAAAAAATTGTCAATAGTTATTCAAAATTTAACACTTAGAATAAAAATGAAGGTGAGTAATAAATATTATCTGAGGTGCTCAAATGAAATCTTAAAAATTATTTTATTTTATTCTAGTATTGGCATTTGAAATCTCTATTGTTGATAATATCTTGTGTAATATTTAACGGAGGTAAATTTTGTTTTAAATTACTTATAAAATTTTTATATGTATTTAATTTATACGTTAGACTATACAATTTTGATTTTCTAAGAATCAATATTTGTTTGTAAAATTTACGAAGTTGCTTCATAATTGAAAACTATGAAATATTTATGAACAAATATAAAATATATTGAGAAAATTATTAATTGATACCAATCATTAATTATGTTAATTTTGTTTGTTAATTAATTTTATTTTATTTTAATGGGTCATTCCATGTGAAATCACCTAATGTATGTACTGGTATAGTTAAAAAATGTATGAAATTTATATCATAGACTTCTTAAATGTCATTGACAACAAAAATAATATTTCTTTTTTTTTTACCAGATAGCGCATTTTTTATAATTAAAAACATGAAAATACAGCCTCTGTTCTAGAGCCTATAACTTCACATCCAAATAAGCAATCACTGTGGAACGAGCACTGTTTTACTCATATTAAATAGTACTTAAATTTCATTCTTAAGTTTATAAATTTTGAATTTTTTTGAACATCGAAATTTTGATTTAAATTTTGCAGTATATTAATAGTAAAATTTGAAAATCAAAATTTTTAATTAAAATTTTTTTTTCTTTTCAGAAAATTTAGTTATGTTTTTTTAACCCATATCATATTTGAATCGATTTATAATTTTGATACCAATCATTAATATTTTAAATCATTAATTATGTTAATTTTGTTTGTTAATTACTTTTATTTTATTTTAATGTATTTTTTTTTGAGTCTGATGGCTAAAATTTTAATTCATATACATTATACTTGATCCAACTATGCCACGTCACCACTGTGCCGCAACCCCCTTGTGCTGGGTTTTTATTATTAATAACATAAAAAACAGCCTATGTTCTAGAGCCTGTAACTTCACATCCAAATAAGCTATCACTATAGAACTAGCACTGTTTTACTCATATCAAATAGTACTTTGATTTCATTCTTAGGTTTATAAATTTTGAATTTTTTTGAATATCGAAATTTTGATTTAAATCTTGCAGTATTTTGTTTTTTTATTTATTTTATTTTATTTTAATGTATTTTTTTTTGAGTCTGATGGCTAAAATTTTAATTTATCGGTGTCTTATTTAACATAGTGAATAAAAAAAAAAAAATTATTTTCTTAAAATAATTTACAATTTACGTTTTTTGTTTAATACATTGTTAGTGTAATTTATGTTTATCAGCATCGATGCAAAGATTAGGAGATATTAATTTTACAAAAAGTTTTTTTTTTTGTCGGTCACCACTCTTAGCTCTCACTGGGTTGATATCTTTCAACGATATTTCAAAGGATCACAAATTGTATCTAATTGAAGACGTATTATTACTTGATAATTAAACAGAAATTTTCTCGATTCCTTTTAATTTAAAAAAATTTTGATTTTTAAAATGAATGAATTTTGACATTTTTTAAACTTTTTTCTTAAAACAGTCATAACTTTTTAAAAAATAAATGAATCAAAATAAATAATTTTTTTCACAAAATAATGTAGGTTTAATAATCCTATTCTTTATTTTTCTACAGGGTGATTCAAAACAGATAACAGTTTTAACTTTTTCAACTTATTTTTTGAAAGTGTTCTGGAAATAATTTGTTATTTAAACATATGTTAAATTTAAGATTATGTTTCATATTAAAAAAAAATATACATATTGTCCGATGACCTATCATCTATGTGTAAATAGTTGGGGTAAGTTACACCTTCATAATAATTCAATTTGATGTCTTTGGGCATATTTTTTTTCAATTTAAATTTTACACTGAAATTATTTTTAAAAAATGAACTACTAGGCGATTTCTTTATATTAAAATACTTACAAGCGTTTGCCATAGTAATGAGTTCACCGATTTCCATAATAGTTATATGAATGTAACTTACATTGAATATAAAATTATTTTGAATATTTTACCTCCTTTAAATTAATAAAAACGACTTTGAGTTTTTGAATTAATTTAAATTGTCCTCTTTAGCTTCTAATAAATGTGATTAATGGTTGTCGCATCGGTATCACTACAGTCAATCACACTCGAGGTGCGAATTTCGAATGCCATTTGTCGTTATAATAACTTTAAATTTTTTGATTAATTCTTCTTGAGTTGGAAAAAAATTCAAAATTCATTTGATTTTTATCTCATTTATACTAAATAACTTAAATGAATTTTAACTATTCAATCAATTTTAATGATCAGTACATTAAAAGAAACCCGATTTTAATCTAATTGAACTTATTGTCAATAAATATCGGAAAAACTTTTTTTATTAAATATCTCTACAAATAATAGGAGTAAAAAATTTGATTTATATTGAATTACACATTATTATCAATTATTATTGAGGTGGACATAATGCCCATGCACTCAGACCTGTCGGTCCATTGTGCGCATATTATATAATAAATATTTATAATGATTATAGACTACTGTTTTGCAAAACCAAATTTGTACAATTATTAAAAATCTGAAATTATAATTTTTCTATTACCTATTTTTTGAGATTATAACTAATTAGAAAACGAGTATTTACATTTAATGAAATTAAATAAAAACAAATAAAATTTTGTATTTAATGATGTCAACACCAAATTTGCTCGTCGAGTTAAAAAAAAGTTATGATTAAATGTTCAATTTAATTATAAACATTCGTAAAAATCAGCTTGAACCAAAAAAATCGGTTTAAAATTACTTTTTTTTGAATCAAAATTTTGCATAAATAATTTTAACATATTAAAAATAAAACTCGACAAAAATTAAAAACAATTTTTTTTTTTANTTTTTTTTTTTTTAATATTTTTAAAATGTAAATCCTTGTTTTTTAAAAATAAGTAATAATCTCAAAAAAGAGTTGATCCGAAAAATCTAATTATAGATTTAAGATCGACGCAAAAAAGGTTTAGAAATTTATATTTTGGTTTCTGATGAATACTCGTTAAAGATCAATAAATTTATTCATAAGTAACAAACATATTTTTTTTTTAATTATTGCATCATATCTTTCATCTTTTTATACGTTTGCCATAAAAGTTTGTATCCAGCTATATCTGCAAAACTATATTATCAAAAGTATAATAATTTCATACTATATATAATTGCAAAAAAAAAGGTTGAATTTGTAATCACAACTTTTAGCTGGACATGCAAGTTTGAAATTGAATAAATAATTAAAGAGATAATTGTATATGATTTAAAAAATGGTTTTGTTAAGTTACAGTAATGATATGAAGTCAGAAAACTTTATAATTACTATTTACAGATATTTCGAACTATGTACCTCAAACTTCAATGATTCAAGTGTAACCGACTCTCCAACCATACGTCCCATTCGTCTGTAGATAAAAATGGCAATATAAGCTAGTTCAAATATAAAAGCTATTTTTTTTTACTTGAAAAAGTAAAAAATTAAAATAAGTTTATCATTATTTGTGTTGTGTCCCACCTAGAATGAGATACGGTAACGTGTTTGGAGTGGATGTAGTTGTAATGTAAAATGAAAATAAAGGATTACGACACAATATATATATATATTTATAACGACTCTTTAATTAAGAAATACAATTATTTATAATTGATACATTGATTGTCTTAAGATGAATAATACTTATAAGTCGTAACATAATATATTTATACAATGATTCGAACGCGATTGATTGTTGCTTATTTGTTGTTAATACTAATTACTCCTTAACCCCACTACATTAATATAATAACAATACGGGTTCGTCACTATTAGCTACGTCAATTAGATTTATTCAATATTTATGAAAATCAGTGGAATACATTTGTAAGGTATTTTAAAATAAAATAAAATACAAAACCTTGAATTTTTCTAAAATAGCATATTTTTGAATACAGTAACCATTTTNTTATTTTTATTAAATATAACTTAACTACTCTAGGTACTCTGTTTTCTTGTACATTTTCTTTTATATTACTTAATTGTATCTGTTCTTTTAATACTTCCTTACTTAATTTTAACCTACCATTTTTCCCTTTATTATATACTATAACTATGATCATTAAACTTACACTGATAAGTAAAATTAATAACAAAGAAATATGAGTTTCCGTGAATCGATATTTTTGGTATGGTATTTCTTTTTCTAATTGTAGCTCATTTAACGTTTTAGAATACTTAGAAAGGTCAATTAAATTAGTTTTAACGTTATCGTTTAAGTTAATAATATCCTCTGATTTTAGATTTTTAAATTTNTCGTTTATGCGATTGGTTTATACAAAGTGAATTCATACTTATTAGCTAAAGGAATTTTTAACTTAAAAATTAAGATATTTTGAATATATACAACATTTATATTTATCAAGTGTAATAGTTCTGATACTCCAGATACTAACCAACTATTAGGGATGATTACATCTAGAGGTAAATGAGACTTTATTATTTTTATTTGTTCTATCAACGATTTGGTNTATTAATTTTATTTGTTCTATCAACGATTTGGTATTCATAATAATAGGGTGTAATAATCCTTGTATTGCAGAAATTATAATGTTAACCAAATTCTGGGTTTCATACGCATACTAATTAATTATTTGATTGAGCAACATAATTTTTTCTGTCAACTCTGTTTCAAATTGAAGAACTCCCATTTCTCGAATAGTAGAGTTTACTTCTCAAAATAAGAAATTATATTTTACTTCTAAACTTATTTTCGATTGTTCTAGATTGATAAGTAACGAATTTACGTTTGAAACAATGGAGTGCATTATGTTTTTTTTGTTTCTGTAAGATGTACTATTTGGTTTTTTGATCGTTAAAGTTTATTGATGTCCTTGTAAAAATATTCAGCATCAGTATCATCACATACACCAAATAAAGCGTTAGCAGCTCGTCTAACGGTGTTTATTAATCCCCTCTTAGACCGCAAGGGCAGTGTATGGGACTGATCTAACATTTTGAGTATATTTCCTCTGTTGTTATTGATTTCGTCCAGAAATTCCGAGATTTGCTGTTTAA